GAAGAAGAGGAAGAGGAGAGGAGGGGAGGAAGAGAAGTTTTATAGAAAACAGGAAAGAAAAAAAACTGACTAAAATTTTAACAACATTAACCTGATGTTCGTGGTAATGAGAAGGCAGATGAGGATTTGCGGGATGTACTTGAGGAACGGCTGCGGCGATTCTTCAGAGCCCCTCCAGCCAGGCCTTTTAACTTGGTCAGACTCTCCACTACCACCAGTACATTTTGCATGGACTCACTAATGGCAGCATTGAATGGTTCACTGTATTCCTATAATCCAAAGATAGACAAACAAACCTATTGTAAATGTATATTTACATATAGAGACATATCAATCAATCAATCTCACTACTTATTAATCAAATGATGAAATTAATGCAATAAAATATGAAACAATTTTTTTTCTGAGTTCAATATGGAAACAAGTAAAAGAAAAAGTATTCCAAGTAATAATCCACTGAAATTCAGAGAACTGATAAAGAAAAAAAATATTTTATCAGGTTTATAGTCAATGAAAATCAGTAAACTACCAAGCTCTGCTGGTAGGATTCTCTATAATCAATAACATTTGTCTGAATAATGGAAAACTCATTTTCTACACACTAATTGCTTATAACCCAAAACTTTCTTAGAAATATAATAGAATTTGGTAGCGAAGGGTAGAGTGATAAGTAAAGTGACTCCTTGATTGCCAAAGCAGCGACATTTTGCAAAACAAACTACAGTCAACACTACATTTTCCTGCTTGAATTGGGATAAATGAAACAGGTTATTTCACAAAACCCAACTAATCACTACACATCATGACATTGTACGACAACTAGACAGATGTGACACCAAACAAGTTGACGCCATACTGCTTGACTTTGCCAAAGCCTTTGACAAAGTTCCCCACAAAAGACTGACTCTTAAATTACGACATTACGGGATCACAGGACCAATACTTCACTGGATCACTGCTTTCTTGACGTGTAGGACCCAACGCGTCTTACTCGACGGAGTATCTTCTGACCCTGTCCCTGTCTCTTCTGGTGTCCCACAAGGCACCGTTCTTGGCCCCCTTCTTTTCCTTCTGTACATTAATGACCTTCCACTTTCGACTCCTAATTCTTCTACTAGACTTTTTGCTGACGACAGCCTTTTGTTTCGACCTATAAAACTGAAGACGACTGTAGACTCCTCCAGCAAGACATTGACGCGCTAGAACAGTGGGAAAGACTATGGCAAATGTCCTTTAGACCGACAAATGCAAAGTTCTCCATTTCACAAGATCACACACCTATCCACTACACCTACACCTTACACAACCATCCCTTAACACTACAGCAACTCACAAATACCTCGGTATCATCTATCCAACAATCTCACCTTTAACACACACACCGACTTCATCATTAACAAAGCCAACAGAACACTGGGGTTTCTGAGGAGGAACCTACACAACTGTACCCCGGACATTAAACACATAGCTTACAACACACTTGTACGTCCAACACTAGAGTACTGTACGGCTGTATGGGACCCCTACACTAAACACAACATTGAGAAACTCGAGCAGGTTAATACTAGGGCTGCCAGGTTTATTACTCGCAATTACTCACATACTCCTGGTATTACATCTCACATAAAAAACATTAACATGGACCTGCTCGAGACACGAAGACAAGCACACAGACTTACAATCATGTACAAAATCACAAACAACCTTGTAGACATCAACAAACATGAATACTTACACGCAACACAAGGAACTCACACACCAGTAAATTTGTCACATACCACACACAACACTAACTCTTACAAGCACTCATTCTTTCCACGTACTATACGCGACTGGAACAGGCTCCCCAACACATAATTGAAGCTAAAACACTTAACACTTTCACAAACAAACTAAATAAACACTAACACTACAAACACCTTCACAAAACTGACACTTCCGCTTGCACCTTGATCCTTCCCCAGCAACCAATCACTACCAATATACATGTTATGCGCTCATTTAGCACCCTACGCATTAATATTGAGATTGAGATTGAGATTTGTCAATTTCAATTAACCTTACAAAAACCCTTATGATATCAGAGCACAAATAAAATCCATACACTTGTTTACTAAAAACATTTAAAATCTTACCCATAATAGCCTTTAAAAACAAATTAGAGAAGAACTTACCACCAACACTCGATACCAAATTCAATCCCTACATGTCTCTCCTATAAAAAATACATTCATATATACATATAAATATACTCAACATAAAAAGAACTGCCTTACTCTTAGACGCAGTTCCACCTCCCGTTCAATTGCTGCCTCATTATCTGTATTACCACTTCGGAGTAATTCCTGGGCATCTTGTAACTCTGCTTTCAGTGAAATCACTTTATTATACCTGAAGTTCCAAGAATGGTTCACTGTTAAAATTGGTTCAACAAAAACAAAAAGTTCATGGTATTATCAAAGATACCTATTTGTAATAATAATTATATAACACAATAAGAAAGAATATAATAATTGAACTCATCAAAATATATAAAAATGATAAATATGCAATTCATATAACTGATTTTTTTTTTTTTTTTGTTCACAACAAACAAACTTAATTACCTTTAGATACCACATACTAGATCAACCTATATCATGCTTCACATTGTTAAAACAAAATAATTAAACAATTATTCAAATTCAATTTACAGTCATAGATAAAACACAGCACTGACTAGGTAATAAAATCTATCTTCTATATTCTGTATCAAAAATTGAAAGTGAAAAGCTCTAACAACCAAGATAACATTTAGATAAATTTGATAATACATTAATTTTTTTTTTTCTTATAGAACCCAACCTGATTCTTAAATTCCTATAGCAATTACATAACATGCTTAAATGATAACAAAGCAGTAAAAAAAATAAATACAAACCAGTGTTGTGTTTCAATTTTCTGTGACGCTAAAGCTTTTGCGAGGGCTCGGTTGTTGCTCCTCAGCTTTGCCAGTTTCATATCATACATGGATGAGACATCATGCCCTGAATGAGCAAACGGAAAAGGAAGAAAAGATGTAATTCATCCACACCCTTCCTCCAAACAATGCAATATTCCAAGAACTGGTATGAATAGCAAATATGAAAACCATAGCATTTTACATGATACTGATCAATTACCCTTACCCAATGATCCCCAGCTACGATTTGGATTTAAACTTCTCTTGAACCTAATTTTCTGAAGTTTTCTCGTAGTCTTTTGTCTTCTGCTTTTGGGAGCAATGACTGCAAACTCCTTTTTTCCAGTTGGCTGATTCTGAGTATCCCCCATTGTTGTTATAATCTGAAAATAAATAAACAATTAAGCATACTAAATAATTGCATGAAATTTTCAATATTAGGATAGTCTGGACATGATATGAATCCATTCAAATAAATACCATAGCTTAGAACCATGAAAACAGAAGCTGAAGGTGACTCCATATCTACATCTGGAATTATCAAATATACTATAATCAAAATGTATGTGCAAGAGTATATCAGCCTCATAAATCTCTATATCAGCATCATAAAACCCCCTACCAAGGATCCACCATCCCCTAACCCAGAGAGGTTTGAGTGACATTCTGAGATCTTGGCCCACAAGGTAAACATCCCTCACTGCTTGTTTGACCCTGAGCTACTATGAGATGGGAGTTTGCTGACATTTGCATTCAGCTTACTTATCAATTCTGCTAAATATTTCTACTGCACCAGGGGTTAATTCTTTACAGTAAGGACGCTTTCACGAGAGATCAAGTCCCAATTCCACATCAAAATAATTATTCATCAAAGTTGCTGTGACTGGGTGTACCCTTCAGGCATGGCCCAAGGGAAGGGTTGATGGGGGGCTCTGCCCTTCAACATCCCCCAGAAACATGGTCTTCACCTCAGTATGCATAGTAACAAAGAGCTGAAACTCAGGAGCATCAAGTGTACGAAGGCTGAGAGCTCTGCTTTCTTTTCCTTTGTCTATGGCATTACCGTTCTTGTCTGCAGATTATTTTTATTACCAACAACTAACTTTATGTCCTCTACAAAAATATCATATTCAATTTCCCCTAAATTAGTGCATCCATACCGTAAAGATGAATTCCCCTGGGTTAGCTGCCATCAACAGGAGTCCACTCACACAATTTTGATGAATTTTGGAAAGTGAACCTGTTCTAAAAATCACCTTGCAACCTTTACTAGTTATATGGCAATGTAATGCAGTGGTTATGTAATGCAGTCGTTATATACACGGATCCCCGTGTACAGTAGTCCAAAAGTACTGAATCAGTACACGGATATGACGGAAATAGCAAGCCAAACCAACCAATCAAAATGCGTTAGGTATTTTAAATTCCAAACATTGAAAACCAAGATGGTGGCAGCCCCAATACCTCCTGCGCCTGGTTTGGAGGATATGCAGAATTTACATCTTTTGACGAATTCAGTGTCAAATTAAAGAAGTTCGAGGAGGATAGTAAATGTTGATTTTACGAAACGAGATGCAGGCACAGTGAAAAAGGCGAACAGCTTACTGAAGCCGGGCCCCAGTGGCCAACAGCCAACTCTGTACACCGAGGCGCTGATATACGCATAGGCTAGGAATCGACACAGATCTCCGTGGATATAGGTTTAGGTTTAGGTGAGGTGAGGTTAGGTTAGGTTGGGTTAGGTTAGGTTAGGATAGGTTAGGTTAGGTTGGGTTAGGTTAGGTTAGAGAGAGAGAGAGAGGGGTGGGGAGAGACA